CAAGAGACATAAAGAACAGAATGGATAAGAAAACAGAATCCTTAAATATGCTGTCTACAAGAGACATATATAAAAAAAAATGGAGACAGGCTAACTGCCCATCAAAAGAAGAACAGTTAAACAAACTTTGGTACCTATACACAACGGAATACTACAAAATGTTGAAGAATAATGATGAATCTGTGAAATACTTTACAACATGGTTGAACCTGGAGGACATTATGCTGAGTGAAATTGTTGTTGTTGTTAAATGCCGTTGAATCGGTTCCGACCCATAGCGACCCTGTACAGGGTTTCCGAGGGTGTAAATCCTTACGGGAGTAGAAAGCCTCATCTTTCTCCCGCGGAGCGGCTGGTAGTTTCGAACCGCTGACCTTAAGGTTCGCAGCAGTCAATCACAAAAGGACAAATATTGTAAAGGACCAATATTGTAAAAAGTTTTTTAAAAGGTTTTATTGGTAAAAAGAAACAATCTATGATAGTTACAGGGCATGAGGGAAGGAAATTATTAAATTATTCATGGGCTATAGGGTAGACACATGTTAACATAGGTGACAGGGCAGGCAATATACAAGAGGGATGTTAGCAGAGGAAAGATGAAGGTAGCAGGAGACACAGGGAGGAATGCAATCATTAAAGTGAATAGAAGTAACTATTGTTAATGTTGGTATATGGAGGGGATTGCAACCATTATAATGAAGTAAAGTATATGAATTGTTGAATACAAAACCGAGGATCTGCTCTGTAAATCTTCACTCAATTCTCAATTAAAAAAAAAAAAAATTGAAAAAAAAAAGAGGGAGGACTCCTGATGTGGTGCTGTGGGTTAATGCGCTGGACTGCAAAGTCAGTTTGAACTGCAAGGTCAGAGTTTCAAGCTCAGCAGACACTCCTTGGAAACCCTATGCAGGATTGCTATGGATTGTAACTGACTTGACGTCACTTAACAGCAACAACAATGTAGTTACAGAACTTCCAAATGAAGAGGAAATCAAGTAGCTTTCAAGAAAATAAATATAAACCTAACAATAACCCTAAATACTAAACTAAGCATTACTCTTAGTCGGAGCCCAACCCCTATCCCTAACACTAACTCTAATCCAACAACAAAAACCATAGTTTATGTGAAATCAATTCCAACTCAATGAGGATTCCATTATCTCAGATACAATTGTGTTCCATAGGGTTTTCAGTGACTAATGTTTTGAAAATAGATTACCAGGTCTTTCTTTCCAGGTGCATCCGGGTGGACTTGAACTACTGACCTTTGTGCTTAGCAAATTGGCATTTTAACCATTTGTACCAGTTGTTGTTGTTGTGTGCCGTGGAGTCGGTTCCGACTTATTGCGACCCTGTACAGGGTTTTGTTGTTGTTGTCGTCAGGTGCCATCGAGTCGGAACTGACTCATAGAAACCCCATGCACAGCAGAATGAAACAATGTCCGATCCTGGGCCAACCTCACTACCGCTGCCACACTTGAGTCCATCAATGATGCCACCTGGCTGATCCATCTTGTTGGGGGTCTTCCTCTTTTTCTCTGACCTTAACCAGCATGACATCCTTCTCCAACGATTGTTTCCTCCGGACAATATGTTCAAAGTAGGAGAGACGAAGCTTAGCCATCCTGGCCTCCAAGGAGCACTCTGGCTGCACTTCTTCCAAAACAGATCTAAAGGGTTTACGAGGCTGTAAATCTTTGTGAGAACAGAAAGGCTCATCTTTCTCCCACGGAACAGCTGGTAGTTACGAACTGCTGACCTTGAGGTTTGCAGCCTGATTCGTAACCAATATGCTACCAGAGCTCCTTCAGTAAATGGTAATTTTTGTCTTCTTGTGGTACAGGGAATTATGGTTCTTCTACCATTGAATTCTACCATTCTACCATAGGCTCTTCTACTCCTATCAATTGACTGGCTTGTTATTGTGGTTGTTAGGTGCCTTTGAGTAGGCTCTGATTCATAGTGACCCCCATGTACAACAGAACAAAACACTGCTCAGTCCTGTGCCATATTCACAATTATTGTTATGCTTGAAACTCTGGCTGCTGCCACTGTGCAGGTCTATCTCATTGGTGGTCTTTCTCTCTCTCTCTTTTTACTGACAATCTACTTTACCAAGCATAATGTCCTTTTCCAGAGACCATCCCGCCTGATAACATTCTGTCTTCTAATGAGCATTGTGGCTGTACTTCTTCCAACACAGATTTGTTTGTTTTTCTGACAGTCCATGGTACCTTCTATATTTTTCTTCAACACCATAACTCAAATGCATTATTATTCTATGGTCTTCCTGATTCATTTTCCAACTTTCACATATGTTTGAAGCTATTGAAAATACCATGGCTTGGGTCAGACATACCTTAGTCTTCAGACTGATACCTTTGCTCTTAAATACTTTAAAGAGGTCTTGTGCAGGAGATTTGCCTAATGCAATATGTTGGTTTCACTGCTGCTTCCATGAGTGTTGAGAGTGGATCCAAGCAAAATGAAGTCCTTGACAACTTCAATCTTCTCTCCATTTATCATGATATTACCCAGTTGTGAGAATTTTTGTTTTCTTTACATTGAGGTGAAATACATACTGAAGGTTGTGATTTTTGAACTTCATCAGTATATTAAGTCCTCTTCACTCTCTGCAAGAAGATTGCATCATCTGTATTTCAAAGGTTGTTGATGACTCTTCCTCCAATCCTGATGCCACACTCTTCTTCACTTTCTCAAATTATTTGCTAAGCATACAGATTGAATAATAATGGTGAAAGAACACAGCCCTGGCACCACCTTCCCTGATTTTAAACCATTCAGTATCCCCTTAACTCTGTTCAAACAATTGCCTCTTGGTCTATATACAGGTTCCTCATGAGCACAATTAAGTGTTTCAGAATACACATAAAAATGGATAAAAGATTGAAGTTGTCAAATACTTCATTTTGTTCACATCAACATTCATGGAAACAGAAGTCAAGATATCAAGTGACATATTGAAAAATAAAGTCTGACAACTTCAGTCTTTTCTCCATTTTTATGGATGTTGTTTATTGGTCTAGTGGTGAGGGTTTTTGTTTTCTTTACATTGAGGTACAACCCATACCAAAGTCTGTGGTCTCTGCTCTTCATCAGTAAGTTTTTAAAATCCTCTTCAATTTCAGCAAGCAAAGTTGTATCATCTGCATATCACAGGTTGTTAATGAATCTTCCTCCAATCCTGATACCCCGTTTTTCATATAATTCAGCTTCATATAATCTGTATGCTCAGCATACCGATAGAATAAGTGTGGAGAAACAATACAATCCTATCTCTTTCCACAGATGCAGTCAGTTTGATTCCTGTGTGCTCCATCTCGTGAGGTCCATGAGTATAGTAGTCTTTTATGTTATTTTAAAAAAGGTATTTGCAATGAAGAAGTCAGTGGTCTTGCAAAATCCTATCATGCAATCTATAGCACCGTTTCTATTACCAAGGCCATATTTTCCAACTACTGACCCTTCCTTTTTGTTTCCAACCTTTGGGAGCAGCATTTATAGCAAAGTTCAAAAGAACACAAAACAATAAATGTTGGTGTGGGCATGGAGAGACTGGGATCCTTTCTCACTGCTGGTGGGACTGCAAATGGTTGCAACCACTGTGGAAAATGGTATGACACTTTCTCAAAAAGTTGGAAATAGAAATACCATATGACCCAGGTATCCCTCTACTTGGTATTTTCCCTCAGGAAATAAAAGCCCAAGCCACGAATTGATATGTATGCACACCCATGTTCATTGCAATATTATTCACAATAGCAAAAAGAAGGAGACAGTCTAAATACCCATCAACTGAAGAATGGCTAAACAAACTTTTGTACATACACACTGGATAACTTGAAGAATAATGAATTACAAAATACCTCACAATATGGATGAATCTGAAGGATATTATGCTGAGTGAAATTAGTCAATCACAGAAAGATAAATATTGTATGAGACCACTGTTGTAAAAAGTTAAGAATAGGCTTTCTTTATAAAAGGAAAATTCTATGATGTTTACTGGGAAGGGGGAGTAAGTTCCTTTCTTTAAGTAATATCTCAGTTTAATACAGCCCTGTGATTTGGTCTTTGACAAAGCAGCAAGCTTACATGGTAGGCCTCATCTTGTATCTCGATTGCAAAGGCCCATTTTTATGTTTAAAAGAAAGAACAAATGTTTGTGATGTTGTTGTTGTTGTTAAGTGCCGTCGAGTCGGTTTCGACCCATAGCGACCCTGAATAGGGTTTCCGAGGCTGTAAATCTTTACGGGAGCAGATCGCCTCATCTTTCTCCCGCGGAGCAGCTGGTAGTTTCGAACTGCTGACCTTCCGGTTCGCAGCCCAATTCGTAACCACTACGCTACCAGAGCTCCTTAATGTTTGTGATAGTGGGTCCATAATTTAACCTTTCATTATTTGGCATGAAATCTACATTAATCTCAGAGCAGAGTATCAACATGAGGTCCAGGAAGGAAATGGGAGACCTTCTGAAGCAGGGTGAAGTGAGAGTAGAGTCAACCCAACTCTGCCATGTTTATTTTCTCATCTGTTTAATCAGTTATTTTAACAGATAATTTTTTTAAATTAAATAATATATTGATGTGAAACTAAAAAAAAAAAGGTCTACTCTTTTGTTTTTTTCAGGTTTAGTGAAGCATGGTTAAGGGCCATAAATAGTCTGGGGGTAAACATTACGCCTGCAGCCAGGGGAAAGTCCCACGTTGTAATAAATTGGACTTCATGGCGTCTGGGAGGGGGTGGAGAATTAGCAGGGCATAGAGCGGCAAAACAAAAGCGGCAGCCATGACCAGCACGCGTATGGGGCAGGGCCTCGGGCCGCCTCCAGGGGCGGGGCCT